ATATATAAAATGTATATATATAAAATATATATATATAAATAAAATATATATATATAAAAATATATATATATATATATATTTTTTTTTTTTTTTGGTAATTTTTTGTTTATTTTTTGACTTGGTTTTGTTTTGTTTCAGCTAGTTGGTGTTCCTGTTTGGGATGTGTAGTGAGAGCAGTCAGAGTAGTGTAGTACTACCGGGATCCAGCTCCTGCTATAAGACCACCTTCATGGACCATTATCAGGTCCTGATGGACATCAGGCAGGGTGGCTTTGCCCAAATGAAACTAGTCCACCACCTCCTCACCAGGACAGAGGTGATGGTGAAAGTTCTGCCAAAGTTAGAGCAGAACATCCCATCCAAACTATATATGCTGATGGCCATGGAACGCTGAAGTGTGATCCAACTCTTTCAGATCATTGAGACCATTGAAAATATCCAGCTATGGCATACAGCTATGGCATACACCTCATCCTGGATGTTGATGGCATGCAGGAGGAGGCCAAGAGACCATTCAGGCAGATTGTGAGTGAGATTGAGAAGGGCATTGAGCACCTAGATCTGAATGCAGAGAACATGCTGGTGGGTGCCAGAGGCAACAGCAAACTCTTGAACTTCAGCCTGAGCACCAGATTCATGACGGGGCAGAAGCTGAACAAGTTCTGGGTCACTCTGTAATACCTTGCCGCTGAAGTCATCTAGAGGAAAAAAATATGGGGGCCCCCTGGTGGACATCTGGAGCCTGGGTGTCTTTTGTAGTTGATGGTACCAGCAATGTGCCCATTTATGTATGGAGCTACTGCTAAGCAGCTGAAGGAAGTAATCATGCATGTAAGGTGCACCATTCCCCAGCATATTTCCACAGGAGCATGGAGCCTTGTCAACAAATACTAACAGTGGACTCCATGCAGAGGCCCACTGTAGAGCAAATAACGGGGCACCCATGACTGAGCCAGGGTGAAGAATATTCACCCAGTCGTTCTAGTGAGCCAATCTCCTAACACCCAGACTCTGCAATTGTAATAATCAGGTTTGACATGGATTATGACCCATAAAATACCTGAGTGTCCCTGGCAAATTGAAAATATGATGAGGTGATAGCTTCATACCTGATACTCCAGCACCAGATAACCCAGGGGGCAGGCTGCATGTTCCTGGTGAAGCCTGTGCATCAACAGGATTGGGCCTTGCCTGGGCCCCAGGGATCTTTCTTTCCAGTGTCTTCACAAAGAAGAATGCCAGTCAGCCTGCCCTTCCATCTTCACCTTGCCTGTGAGCAGCAGCTGCCTAAGGAGGCCAAGAAGGCAGGGCAGAAGGGCAATGGGAAAGCCAGCATGCCTGCTTCCTATATGCAAAGACCTCCACTCCCAGCACAGCCTCCCCGGGGGACCCTGTGCGCCACATGCCTAACCCCTGGATGATCCTCAGTAGGTGGGTCATAGGGCAATCTTATAACAACAAGATCTGCACCTGCACTCAGCAACTGCCTTGTGGGCCAGCATTCAGGGAAAAAAAAAAAAAAATCCAATGTTCCAATGCAAGAAGGGCAGAAATGGGCTAGATTCAGGAACAGAGTGGGCTTCAATGAAAATGGAGAGCTGAGACAGACAAAACCAGCAGACAGCCAGAAGACCCTGTGCTCTGTGATCCTGACATCATGGCGTGGGCATCTGTGTGGACTAAACAGCTGCAGGAGTGTGGTGTGCAAACTGGCTCAGGCTTCTCTGCACAGGTTCTAGATAGGAGCACATCTGGATCCACTAGAAGTCTCCTCTGCCCCCACCTGGAAGAGGCATCAGAGACTTTTTTTTTTAAGTTGTAGATGGATACAGTATCTTTATTTATTTATATGTGGTGCTGAAGATTGAACCTAGTGCCTCTCACATGTAGCTCAGTGCTCTACCACTGAGCTACAGCCTCAGCCCCATCAGAGACTTTCCCTAGGACACTTCCCCCGCCCTACTCTTCTCTGTCCTTTCTCCCATGCTTCTAGGACAGCAAAGATGCTTCTTTATAAATTTATGTTTCTTACAAATTGTATAATAAAATTGACATTTCAGAGATTTTTTTTTTAAGGCAGATTAAAGAGAGGAGAAAAGCTTCGGGGCAAAGGCAGGAGCCCAGCAGCTGTCCTCTGCAAGGCCTGGACCACTATGCCTCCCCTCTCCTGTTCAGTTGAGATACTTGCCTCAAGCCAGTGTAGATGGGGACTGGCTCCTCTTGACCTGGTGTAGACAGAGATTCTTCCCTTGAGCTAGTATAGACTTGATTCACTTTGAGCTGGTTGCTTTGGCCAGAAGGAATCCCTCTCCTGGTGTTTAGGCCCTTTCTTGAGGTGTGTGGAGAAGGCAGGTGGCAGCTAGGCTGCTGTTGGCTCTTGTAGGCTGCTTCTAGCAGCACTCCTCTCCAAAGTTTGCCGTCTCCTGCGATATTGCACTGCCAGGGAGCCAGCAGCAACATCACAACCCAAATTTCTACTGAATGCAGCAAGTTTGAGTTAACTTCTTACAGTGCCTTTATGTCAAACAAGAAAAATCCACATAGATAGCTGAATATTTCAGTGTGGCCTCATCTTTTAGAACCATAAAGGATGAGCTCATCTTTAGCTTTTGTTATATGCATCTTCTGTTGTGATGCAAACCACAGGCTCCTTTAGTCAGTGAATTATAGCAACAATAAAAAACATGAGGCCAAGGTTTAAGGTAGATAATAATATACCTCACTATGAGTCACTGTCTTACTCCGAGAACCTCATCCATCAAGGAATGAGGAAGATTCTGTCTTCTTACAATTCTAGGGAAGGAATATCTGAACTGGAATGATTGTGGATCCCATTAACAAAAGCCCTAGAGAACCCAGAACGGCTAGTTCAGCCCTAAATGCTACATCCATTAGCAATGTGCAGTCATCTGAGAGCTGTCTCACACAGGCCAGGCACATCCTAAGAGCATGTGGTACTACTTTCAGAATGTCTTCCTCATAAGGTCTGATTGATAATAAACCCACATCCCTTCAACTATCCTATTAAATGACCTAATTTTTTTTTCCATTGGAAGCAGAGCAATACCAAACTAACTGGTCAAAATGTTCTGTAATAAATTAATAGCTTTGGGGCTAAGTTGATGACTTGAGTTGATTATCTTGGTGATGTACATATAAATTATGTTTTCTAGAATAAGTAGAGGATAAGAAAGGCCTTTCTTATACAATTTGTTATTTATTCACCTTTTCTTTTTTTGGTGATGCTAGTAATCAAATACAGGGCCTCACACATGCTAGACAGGCCCTATACCACTGATCTACTTTGTATGCAAACCCTCTTCAGCTTAAGTAACATAACAGAGCTTTTTTTTTAATATTTATTTTTTAGTTTTTTAAAAGTAGACACAATATCTCTATTTTTATTTTTTTTTAAAGAGAGAGAGAGAGAGAGAATTTTAATGTTTCTATTTTAGTTTTCGTTGGACACAACATCTTTGTATGTGGTGCTGAAGATCGAACCCGGGCCGCACGCATGCCAGGCAAGCGCGCTACCGCTTGAGCCACATCCCCAGCCCTCTATTTTTATTTTTATTTGGTGCTGAGGATCAAACCCAGTGCCTCGCGTGCTAGGCGAACACTCTACCATTGAGCCACAACCCCAGCCCCACAACAAAGCTTTTTAAAGCACCAAGAGTAAATAATTTATGGTACTATTGACCCAAATTAAGTTTAACCTTCAAACTGTGTATGAAAAATATGGTATATCCTAAGTAAGCCAATATAAGAAGTTCAGTGTTTATGTATGTATAAATATTATACTAGTTGAAAATTCATTTAATTTTTTAAAAATATTTTTAGTTGTAGGTGGACACAATACCTTTATTTTGTTTATTTAGTTTTTTTATGTGGTGCTGGGGATCGAACCCAGTGCCTCACACATGCCAGGCAAGTACTCTCCCACTGAGCCACAACCCCAGCCCTCGTTTAATTTTTAATAGTGTATTATGATTTTATAAATTGAAGATATTTTCAAAACTTGTCAATAATGAAGAGGCATTTTCTTTTTTTTTTTTTCTCTTTTATTTCTGTAAGTTAGGGTGTTCTTATTCCTTAGGAACAATAAAGTACTAGAGTTTGGCTTTGAATCTGATTGAACACCTTACAAAGTGAATAGGAAAATAATTTTTAGAACATCATTTAATATTACAGATCTGTGGTTTTGTTTTGCCCATGTCAATCAATCAAACATATTTACCGTATTCAGGAAATTTAACTCAATATGTAGATTCAGCTATTTTGCTTTGGGGGAATATTAGTTATGACAAGCACAGAATAAGACATGCACATTTTTGGAGCAATTTTACAAAACATTTACCTTTGGTACTTTAAATTTTTTTCATAAAATGTCTACATTAGTTTGTGGTATTTTCCTCTCAATTTATTGGATACACTAATATGTTTTAATAAACATCAATAAAAATGGAATTCTTTCAAAATAGTTGTCTGTGCCGTGAATGCCCTTGCCCACCATGTGCTTCACAAGGACCTCAAGGACATTGTCAGTGACTTCAGAGGCTTCTACAGGCAGCTCACCAGTGACGGGCAGCTCAGATGGGTAAGAGACCTATTTTGTAAAAAGCTTTTATAAATAAGTTACTAAGATGTCCTTTGATTGCAGCAAATGTGAAAATAGTAATGGCTGTACAATTTCTAAGTAAAGCATTTCATTCAAATAAATTAGGGCTTGAGTCATTTAGATAATCAGTATTTTGAGGCAATCAGTTCCTTTCTGTAAGGCTTAAAGCTTTTTTTTGGCTCTTATCTACCTCATTTCCCACTCCCTAGATTGGAAACAGTGGTCTAGAGGATAAAGAGCTGAATGGGCAACCTTTCTTTGGAAGAGAGAATGTGAACAGTTCTGGTATTGTGGCAGAGGTTATTAAGAAGTAAAATAAGAGCAAAGTTAAAAAAAAAAAAAAATAGGGTGTGGTGGTGCATGCCTGTAATCTAAGCCTCAGCAATTTAGCAAGGCACTAAGCAATTTAATGAAACCCTATCTCAAAATAAAAAATAAAAATGGGCTGGGCCTCAGCAACGGCGAGGCACTAAGCAACTCAGTGAGACCCTGTCTGTAAATAAAATGCAAAATAGGGACAGGGATGTGGCTCAGTGGCTGAGTGCTTCCGAGTTCAATCCCCAGTACCAAAAAAAAAAAAGAGAGAGAGAGAGAGAAATAAAGAAGACCATAGTACCTAGCCTGCTTATAGGCAGTATCTAGCGTACTGTTGAAGCATGAAAAACTAAGTTTCTAGAGGAAGGTTTTTTTTTTTTTTTTTCTTTTGACACTTCTTATTGGTACATTATAGTTGTGATGGATTCTTATTGGTACATTATAGTTGTGATGGAATTTGTTGTTTCATATTCATTCAGGCATACGATGTAACTATAATTTGGCCAATATCATTTCCCAGCAATTCCCACCTCTTTCCCTTTCTCCCACTCCCTGTTCCCTTTCCTCTACTCCTCTCCCTTCGATTTTTATGAGATCCCACCTCTCCCCCACACCTTTCTCTTCCTTTTTCCTCTCTAACTTCCACATAGAAGAGAAAACATACAACTCTTTGCCTTCTGAGTCTGGCTTTAGAGTAAGGATTTTTTTTTTACTTCCACTTTATTTTTTTTTAATTTTTATTGTTGGTTGTTCAAAACATTACATAGTTCTTGATATATCATATTTCACACTTTGATTCAAGTGGGTTATGAACTCCCATTTTTACCCCGTATACAGATTGTAGAATCACATCAGTTACACATCCATTGATTTACATATTGCCATACTAGTGTCTGTTGTATTCTGCTGCCTTTCCTATCCTCTACTATCCCCCCTCCCCTCCCCTCCCCTCCCCTCTTCTCTCACTACCCCCTCTACTGTAATTCATTTCTCCCCCTTGTATTTCTTTCCCTTTCCCCTCACTTCCTCTTGTGTGTAATTTTGTATAACCCTGAGGGTCTCCTTCCATTTCCATGCAATTTCCCTTCTCTCTCCCTTTCCCTCCCACCTCTCATCCCTGTTTAATGTTAATCTTCTTCTCATGCTCTTCGTCCCTACTCTGTTCTTAGTTACTCTCCTTATTAGAGTAAGGATTTTTAATACAGTAAGATAAATCCAGTAATCTAGACTTTGCCCTTGTCTCCTGATGACTGGTTTGTCTTGTCCAAACTCTGCTAGTCTCCCATCCATGCACTGAGAAGGGCACAAGAGAATGCACTTTCCATATTGTCTTGGGTTTTATGTTTTACTTTCTGCAAAGCAAGTGTATCTTGCCTTGAAAGGTGTCATCTTGAAGAAGCTCCCACTGGCCAAATGTGGGACAACTGTAACATTAGAATAAATACGATAGCAATGTCATTTAAACTCACTGAGTGAAATAAGAATCTATGAATCTGTTCAGATAATAAGCAAAGGAAAACTTATCATTAGAGTATAAACTAATGAGTGTGAGATGAATGATAACATTAGAAAATCACCATATTTCAACCATCATAGCCACAGTTAATTGAAGCAAGAGTCACAAGTGTATGCTTAAATTTGGGGTCAATAGTAATCTTCTGATTTAGAAAAGGAAATTGGTATCTTCAGAGTAGAGAAACCAAATGAACACTATCTTACTCAAGTGGTGAAAATTAATAACCCTAATAATAAAACAAAATGACATAATTACTTATGCAACATTTGTGCCAAAAAAAGAATAAACTGAATCTAATCATGAAGTTACTACAGACTGACACATATTGTGGGGTACTTGATAATATCAAATGGCCTCTACTCTAAAATGTCAGTATCATCAAAAGAAAAAAAAATTGTTCCAGACAAAAAGACATTAAAGAGCCATGACAACTGAATACAACACGTGGTCCAGGATTGGATATGGATCAAGGTAAAATAAGGTACTATTGGGAAAATTGGTGATATTTGATTATGGATTATGAATTATGATTATGGACTATCTTTTAAATACCAATAGCCCATCAATATTTTATTTCCTGAATATGACCCTTATGCTGTGGTTATGAAGAAGAATGTCCTTGTTTTTTTGGAACTATACACCAAAGTATTTAGGAGTAAAAGAACATGCTATCTGAAACCTTACTCTCAAATGGTTTAATAAAGAGAGACATGAAGAGACAAGTTTTTATACTTTCACGAATTTTCTGTTGGTTAAAAATTGTTTTCTGGGGCTGGGGTTGTGGCTCAGCAGTAGAACACTCGCCTTGCGCGTGTGAGGCCCTGGGTTCAATCCTCAGCACCACATAAAAATAAATAATAAAGGTATTGTGTCCAACTACAACTAAAAAATCAATATTAAAAAATTGTTTTCTATAAAGCATAACCTTTAAATGAATTTCCACTGCTGTCTTTTCATTCTTGAAATGTGGTCCCTGGCCAAAGGACCTAAGTATCTTTTTCATGTCTAGGAAATGCTGCTATGTTTTCCTTCCCAGATTGGTCCAGAGAAAGGGGTGGTGCACCTGGCAACAGCAGCCATTCTGAACGCAGTGTGGGACCTGTGGGCGAAGCAGGAAGGAAAGGTAACTCATCTCAGAAGCACACATGTAGCTCTGTGGCACAGGAGGACTTGTGACTTTCTCTATAAGCAGTCTCAGAAGACCAAAGTCAAGTGCAACACAGGTGTCCAAAAGGAAATACTGGGATACTTGATTATTTTCTTTCCTGAGTAATATTGGCAGTAGTTAGGAAATTATAGGATTAGGTTATAAAGGGCCAAGAAAGATGGAAAGGGACAGCAAAGGGAACAGGTTAAGAGGCAGCAGGAGACACAGGCGGCATTAGAGGTGAGTGGGTGGCTGGGGGGACCGAAGCTCTGATAGTGGGAGTTTGCCACAAGCACATTCACTGTCAGGACAAAAATGAGTGCTTTACGAATGTGCTTTACATATCTTTTCTTTTTTTTCTTCAAGCCTCTGTGGAAGTTACTTGTGGATATGGTAAGTAGATTCTTTAATGTTGTAATCGTTTCTAAATGAAATAAATTTTGTGGATTATTTGCCTTTTAATAATCAGTAAGTATGTTCAAAACTATAGATCTATAGTCTATAGATTACTGATGATAAAGCAAAAAACAGTAAAATATAATATTCCCTTTCTGATATGTGAAGTAGCAGCTCTGCTTATGTAGGTGGGGTGGTACGTCAGGAGGCAGGGAGTTAAGGTATTCCCCTGCTGGGGACATATAACACGGGATTCAAATCCTCTCCACCTCCACTGCCTGTGAGGACTGTGAGAAGAAGATTATAGAGCCTCTGCAAATGTCCCTGAGTTAAAGACCAAGTGAGAAGAGCACCTCCTAAACTCCTGAAAGCCAGGTACTACTGTTAAGACATCATCTGGTCACTTTGACTCCAAAAGCAAGATCATGGCAACCTGTGCTGTGCATTTCCAGCAGGGAAGGACCTTCACACTGATTCTGAAGTTACACACTTGGTGTTTTCTTTCTTGTTGACCTATTTATAGCAGGGCGAACACCTGGCTGCTGAGAAGGAAAACTCCATGCAAGTTAGAGGGGAGTGAACCTCTGACCCAGGCAGACCTAGCTCTGAATGTGTTTTTCACTACTAACTAGCTGAGTGACCCTGAGTGTATTAATTAGCCACTGTGAGCTTCAGCTGCCTTAGTGTGATGTCTGATGGTCCACAAATTATTATTTAGCAGGAAAATTAAGGAAAAGCAAAGAACACAATGGCCTTGAAGACATTTGGGCCAGGAGACCTTGTTCCCCTCTGGAGGCAGGTGAAGAGAGGCGGCTGTCACATCGGTCTGATATAGCCAAAGGTGGCATGGGGGCCCTCTCAAGGGAAAAGATATGAAAGGGTATATTTAGTGACCACCACAAGAGAAGGATCTGAGGAGTACTAGAAAGGTGCATGAGATCCCACCTGAGGACTTTCCATTTTTTGGAACCTGTTCTCTGTTTCAATGCTACTTCTGTTTTCAAAGCAGAATCTCAGGGTTGAAAGAGCTTTAGATTTTTAGCAGCTCTGGAGGAGTATTATGATCACTGTATGACATTAGTGGGAACAGAGCTGCTAGTTCCTTTTCCCCTGACTGTTCGGTGGAGTGGGGAGAAGACCCAGTGTGAGGCCTAAGTTGACATGCGGCCAGAGTGCTGAGCGGGCAGAGGAAGAAAAGCTGATCTGGAGCACAGTTGGCCATCGTCCAGGAAGGTCAACGCATTCCCATTCCACACTCTCTTGCTGTCAGGGAAGGAAATTATCTCCACTTGGCAGGAGAGGAGATTGCCAAGGCTTCAGTGCTGAGGAGCAGTGGGCCTCGGATGACCCTGGGGACCCAGCTCTCAGAGCAGCTTTCTTTCCTCCATACCAACCTGCTCCAGGACCACCTTCATCCCCTCAGCAAAGTCAGCCTAGGGGTTGAGCAGGTATATAGAGGGATGCCAGGTACCGTCTGTTTGTTTTTGTTGTGCCAAGTGTTTGTTTTGTGCCAGGGCCTTTTGCTGGGAAGCCATGTTTTTTGGAAAGAACAAGGCAGAAGCAGGGAAGGAAGGATCAGAGCATGAGGGACTGAGGGCTTGCTAGGGCCAGCAGTGAGCCTCTGAAGGACTCCATATAAGGAGTGACAGGACCAACTTTACTCAAATCCCAAAGGTCCCTTCCTGGAAAGGATGAGCCTGATAGATCAGAATAAGCAGCATCTTAGAAACATAATCTGCCTGTGAATTGATTGAGGCCTTCCCTTTCCTGTCCCGCTGCCAGGATCCCAGGACGTTGTTATCCTGCATTGATTTTAGGTATATCACCGATGTCCTGACTGAGGAGGATGCCTATGGTGAGTCATGTGCGAGGAGTGGGCCTGGAAGCTTCCTGGTGTATACAGAAATGTGTAAGCAGCATCCACAGGCCCTGTTGGGTGGATGAAGGAGTGAGTGATGCTTTTTATTTTTGCAGAAATACTGAAGAAAGGTCAAGTTGGTAAAAAAGAAAGAGGTGGGTTGTAAGAAAATTTCCTTCCTTGCTTGTTCTATCATTGTTCACTTTTGATTGTCCCTGTCTTCTATTAGTGCGCATTATCCTCAGATGCACTGTGCCAACCTGGGTGAATTGGGGGATTGAGTCATGAGGATCACAAATTCTAGGCCAGCCAGATGCACTGTGCCTAGCAACTAAGGCCCCAATCAGAATTGTGGGTCTAGGTGAAGAAGCCACATAGGTATGACCTCTGGCTGCAGGGTTCACTTCTGCCACTGCTCACAGAAAGTTTGACTTTAGGGTTGTACTGTAGGTTAGGGGGACCCTTGGGGAGTGGGGCATTCAGAGAAGGTATCCTGATCACCTGGACTTGACACCCCAGTTGGCTGGATTTGCGGCAGGGTGCATGTGAAGGGCACCCAGAATAGCTGGATTCTTTGAGCAACAGTTTAGCTGTAGACAATTTGAACCCAAAGTTCCCTACAAGGTGCAAGATGTTGACAAGTGTTGTGTTTTCCAGAAGAGCAAATGCTGATGCATGGCTACCCTGCCTACACCACATCATGTGCCTGGCTGGGGTACTCAGATGACACACTAAAGCAGGTAGGCTTTTTTAACCTGGTTTTGCAGGCAAGGTGAAGGGGGAAAAGTAAACTGGTTTTCCATCTGCACTCGCACCTCTGCAGTCATACATCACCTCTGACACCAGATGTGTACAGTTTTCTCCCATACCAACCAATTCTCTAATCTCGTGGGCACCATGGGTGGCCTACAACTTAATTCTAATTCTGGAGTTATCATCAGACTCCACAGGTTATTGGCTCAGGCTTACAGGACTTCCCCACTTCAGATGCCAGTCATGCAAGTCTAGGTTGTCACTTGAGCTTTTGACCAACCATCTAGAAAATGGAGGTTTCTATACAACCCAACCAACCCACCTCCTACCCCCACTGCCTTTGAATTTTATTATTTGCTAGAATGGCTCACAGAACTTAGGGAAACATTTGCGTACATTTACTGGTTTATTATAAAGGATATAATGCAGGAACAGCCAGGCAGAGGAGATATACAGAGCAGAATATGTGTCAGGGGCACCCAGACCAACCCTGAAGCTCTCTGGACCCTTTCCTTTTGGGTTCTTCCAGAGGCTTCACTTAGCAGGCATGTTGATTACATCATTGGCTATTGGCAGTAAACTCAACCTTCATCCCTTCCCCTCTCTAGAGGTCTAGGGTGGGGGTTGAAAGTTCTAACACCTTATTAGGGCCTGGTCTTTCTGGTGATCAGCTCTAATGGGTCCCTCTTTAGGTTCATTAGCATACAAAAGACACCACTCAAGAGATCCCCAGGGTTTGGGGGAGCTGTATGCTAGAAAAATGGGGCAGGGAAGTGGAAGAGGCAGATACCAAATCACACAGGCTTCCCTGGGAGAGATTTACAATTTTATTATTAGGTTTTCCAAATCCTCAATCCAAGGCTTCCTTCAGAAAGTACTTATATATGAATGAAAGTCAAGCCATTCACCTTGCAGACCCTGGGACTCTGACATAATGGTCTCAGCTCAAATTCTAGAAGGTGAGAGACTAATATTGATAATAGAGACTAATAGAACCATGTACCATTGTGCAGGTGACTTACCCATTGCTGAGCCTCAGTTTTCTCACTGTGAAACAGGGAAATAACAGCCTGTGTCTCAGTGGGGCAGTTTTGAGGAAAGCTGTAGGTTAGCATCCGGTGGCTGACATGTGGTATACAGATAGCACATTATTCATTTATTACTCTTTTGTTTTTTAAAAGATGGACACAATATATTTTATTTATTTATTTATTTACTTACTTACTTACTTATTATGTGGTGCTGAGGATGGAACCCAGTACCTCACAAGTGCGAGTCAAGCGTTCCACTGCTGAGCTATAACCCAGCCCCTACTCTTTCTTATTACATTTACTCACCTAGAGTCGAGAGAGAGAGAAAGAGACAGAGACAGAGCCTGGCTTTTGTTTGTTGCTCTTTTTATCCATTAGTTCGATGGCCGTCACAGAAAATCCTGGCTAAAAAGAGGGTCATTCATACTATATTCCCCTTCCAGGATTGCTGTGACAATTTGAGAAATAGTTCCTGTAGAGACAAGGATCACTACCACTAGAAAGAATGATGCTCTGTTGGCCAAACTGCATCTCCTTTTAATTTTAACAATACATAATTGTTTTTCTGATTTATGCTATAACTGTTATGTTTAAGAAACTCAGATCAGAAATGACTGAGGTGCCTAATGTCAGGCCAGGGGAGCTCAGTACCTTATTCCATCCCAACTAACTTTCTGCCACTGGTCCTGATTCTTTTTTTTTTTTAATATTTATTTTTTTAGTTGTAGTTGGACACAACACCTTTATTTCACTTGTTTATTTTTGTATGTGGTGCTGGGGATCGAACCCAGGGTCTCGCACGTGCGAGGCAAGCGCTCTACCTCTGAGCCACAACCCAGCCCAGGTCCTGGTTCTTCTTGGCATTTCCAGGAGCCAGTACCAACAGGTACTCCTCTTTCTCCATAGCTCTGTACAGCAGCGCTGAAGGACGGCTGGACCAGGTAAGTTATTTGCATGGTAGTGGACTTGACCTTCTCAGCAGCAGGAAGAGACTCATTGGAGAAGAGCCAGGGACTAAACAGCACCAACAAGGCCAAAAGCAGTATGGCACATAGGCACACCAAAGCTCCAATGTAGACCAGGCTCATTCTCCAAAGATAAGATAAGTCCCAGTTAGAATGTTAGAACATCACATGAATAAAATAGAACTTGGAGACTGTCCACTTCAAGCAGCTATTCAGAATAGAAATCCATTCTATTAGATGAATCACAAGACCTGATTCAGCATTTCTGGACAGCTCCCAAGGCAGCCAGCTTAACTTTACAAAGCACTTTTCCATTGCTTGAGGCCATTAAGTGTTAGAAGGGTCTTGAATATTGGCAACCCTTCACTTCCAACTAACTTTCTGCCACTGGTCCTGGTTCTTCATGGAGTTTCCAGGAGCCAGGTTTCTCCTCTTCCATTGGAGTGACAACCCTCCCTTCCCCAGACTGCCTCCTGATCAGATGGAACACCTGCACTTCTCCCTCCTTCGTATATAACTATGGACCCCTGAGACTCCTACGATCTTCCTCTGAATGAATCGTGGTTGTCAATAACCCCAAATCCTTATATACAGTAGGAAGCAGAGACTGTTTTCCCTCTTGATCCAGCCACTATAAGCCCATGAGTGTAGATAAAGGTGGCACCTTTTACCTGGCTTGTGATTGATCAACTCTGCAGATTCTCAAAGTGTGGTTCATGGAGCATCAGCACCTGGGAGCTTGGGAGTTTGTCAGAAATGCAGAGTCTCAGCCTCTCCCCAGTCCTGCTACATTGAAATCTGCATTATAACAAGATCCCTAGGTGATTGATGTGCACACTAATGTGTAGTCTTTTTAACTCCTCAGCTAAAGATATAAAAGACGCAGCATAAAGCAATAGAAAGAGACTTTGGCATATGATAGAACTGGAATCAAATCCTGCCTTTCCTCCTCATTCCTTACAAACCTGTGTGATTCTGAGCAAATTGCTCACTCTTGCTCCACTGCATTTTCTCTCTGTATAAAATGGAAATAATATTAATTGATGGTTCTCCTCAAAGTTGCCATATGTGACAAGGACCAGCATAAGGTAGATTCAGAGCAGGTGCTCAGTGCAGGCTTCCTGCCCTCCTCCAGACTCAGGAGTACAGAGCAGTGGATCTGGTGAGTAGGCCACGCTCCAGGAAAATTTCATGGGCCTCCCAACATTAGAAGCCTGACATGCAGAGGCTGTGGCCAGCAGCCCTCTCTCAAGCACCACAGATCATGTAGTCAAGCTCCACTGTGTGTAGAAATGTCTTCAGAGGGTACAGTATTGCGCTCAGGAAGAAAAGGGCAGTAAGTGCCTGGGTATGTGTGAGCTGGGGATTTTTGTAGGCACTTAGAGAAGCAGAGGAAGGAGCTTGAGCAGTCCTGGCTCAGTCTGAAGCAACATCCAGCAGCCATTGCTGTCCCTAAGTGCAACCTTGATGCCAGGATCGCACAGGAAGCAGAGGCTGATAAGAGAGAGCACTTGCCAGTGGCCTGGCAATGTGTCCCCTCCTCCACATGACAGTGCCCACATTCTGGTCAATGACACTCTCCTGACAGCAAAGTCACAGGGAACAAATGTAGAGGCTTTTATTTCAAGAGCATAATTGCACATCAAGACAGATTAGGGAGCTCCCTGAAAATGTCAGATGTGGTGTGAAGGAGATCTCTGCAGGGAGCCTGAGGCCACACTCTGCTGCTCCTCAGTGCTGTGGCCTAGTCCTTTTCTCCCTCTGGGGCTTAGGCCCCTGCACCAGAGGGAACAGACTAGCCCCAAGGCCTTCCTCTCATGGGCTCATTTAAGATAAGGCCCGCTATGGGAAGGGCTAAGCAAATATAGGTGCTTTATAAATCAGACTCTTGATTTGTGATTTCTCAGGGTGGCTGTCTTAGCAAACCACATCAGCCCCACTATCCTCTTCAATTCCAACTGTGACATTTTGTAGTTCTAGGAGAGGGGTTGAGAGTGAAAGTGAGGCTGGGTAGGTCAGGAGGTGTGGTGTTGGATCAACAAGGCAGCGGGGAGGAGGGAGGTAGTAGTGGTGGTAGTTAGGGAGTGGAATGAGAGAGTGGGGCTGGGGCCGGACCTTTAGCACATACACACTCCCAGTTTTGTTCCTTTTTGCTCTTAATTTCTTTTCATGACACAGTAAAAACTCAGTTAATTATATTAGAGATTTAACTTCTCTCTCCAGTTCCTTAACTGTAGGTAACTGAAAATCATTGCCCTGATCCTGGGTACTGAGAGATGCAGTTTGCAGGTTTATTTTCAAGCCGCTTGTCTAAAGATTGACTGGAAAATACCAAGAGGTTACTGGAAAATGTGGTCTGTGGATTATTGACATAGAGAGTCACTTCTGTAGAAAATCCAGGAGCTTTTGCCAAGTCAGAAGACAGATCCAAACTACCCAACCAAATGTATTTATAGGTTTAAAGTAAAGGTTGGGGCTGATCTCCAGGATGACATGCGTCGATGCCGCCTCATCAGAGACATGATTGGACCAGAGAAGACTTTGGTAAATATCCTCTTACACCACTAAGAAGTGGCCACCTTGCCATTTTGTTCAGGGCCAAAACTCATTTCAAGCAAGAACTCGTTTCAAGCAAGAATTAAAAACAGTGGGAATTTTAAAACTTACTGTCAGAGGAATTATGATTCTGTGGCCTTGTAGTAGGTGAACTCTTTTTAAAAAATGGGGGCTGATACTTTTTAGTTTTTGAATTCTGCAGAACAAGCTAAATAATACCAGGGTGATAGATTGGTCATCTTGCTAATATGAATAAGCTCAAGCAAATGGGTCTCCCATTGACGCCCTGATGTGTCAGTCATTAATTCCCTACATAGCTCATCAGCTAGGCGGCTTTCAGGGAACTAGTGTGAAGAAGTATTGAAACTCTGGCAGAAATAAATGTGAGGATTGGTCATTCCTGACTGTGTATTGTTATGAAACAGTTATTATGTGTAAAATATTTTCATGAAAGGAGGTCACCATTGAATCTCTTTTAAAAATTTTTTTTTAGTTATACATGGACACAGTATCTTCATTTTGTTTATTTACTTTATATGGTGCTGAGGATCGAACTCAGTGCCTCACACATGGGAGGCAAGTGCTCTTCCGCTGAGCCACTCCCCAGCCACCTCGAATCTTTTTTTTTATAAAGTTAAAAGGCTTGTTTCATACATTAAAATTGAAGTGTGGATTCCTTGAAGTGGCAGCAGAATCAGAAGTCCCATTATTTATACATGAGTTAATTTAGCTGCTTTTGTTTCATGAGGTCATCCTCATCCAAATAATTTATGATGAAAATTGATCCTGAGTGTACTATCTTCTGCTTCTCACCGTCTTGTGAGGGAGCTCACACACTTAGCACATTCTATAGATAGATTTCCTTTTCTGTCTTCTCCAAGCATGGGAAGGCTGGGGTAGTCGGGGTGGAAGGGTCTTGCTCAAGTGCTGCACACCCAGCCCCTGGCTTCCAGGCAGGGTGGCAGCACACACTACAGAGATCCAGGGCTGGGCAAGTGAGGCCTGGACCTGAATTCACCCTTGACTTACCTTACTGTTCTTGAGGAAGTTACTTCTCTGCATTTCAGTTTTCTATTTATAATAGGTTAATATGAACTGCCTTGTAGGGTTTTTATAAGGATTAAATGAAACAAAATCCATGAAGTGCCCAGGGAAGCAGGTATTTCATTAAGTAGTTATTTATTAATGTGCCAGACACATGGTAGGTAGTAGTCAATAAATAACTCTTGAGCAAACTCAATATTGACTGTGCATATGATTCAGAATGATAAAATGGTTCCAACAATCTAACTAACACTGCAAAACACACCTATTTGTGGGGGTGTGGGGGCATCTCAATGTAAACTGGGCCTGAGCTTCAGGGTCTAGCAAGTACTTCTTGAGACCCAGCCCAGGGCACTTTCAGACATTATAGAGTCTTCATGAACAATTTGCATCTCCTCAAAAAAGACAGTATCTAGAGCCAGAGTTCTAATTACAGTGGCTACTCTTTGGTTCTTTTTGTTTGGGCTGCATGTGCTTGTCCTCAAAAAAGGAAATGTCAGGTGAATCTTCCTCAGCAGTTGGTGGTACAGAGTGACAATGTCTCCTTGTTGGGAGTCACCCCTGCAGCAGAGTGAAGTCCATTTCCTTACAGATGATGGATGCCAACCAGCGCTGGGATGTGCCTGAGGCAGTGGAGTGGATGTCAAAGCTGGCTGAGTTCAAGCCATTGTGGATTGAAGAGCCAACGTCCCCTGATGACATCCTGGGGCACGCAGCCATTTCCAAGGTGGGTAAACTGATGCTTCTGCTGCATTGGCCATTTATTTTTTTGTTTAGTTTTCCAGAAGGGTCATGGAAGATGCCAAAATTTCTTTTGAGTTTTCCCTTTTACATTTCCTCATGGAATATTTAAAATAATTGTAACATGTGACAAGTACGGGAACTGCAGACTCCATTTCCATTTGTTTGAGAAAGTTGCTGAAAGTTTAAAGGCTATCAGCCATCTGAAGATTAATAGATATGGTTCTCATACTTTTATAAATATAGAAATATGATTGATATGTAGATATAGATGGTCACTGACTTAAAATGGCTCAACATATGATTTCCCCACTTTATGATGTTGCAAAAGTGATAGGCATTTAGCAGAAACTAGACTTCAAGTTTTGAATTTGCATCCTTTCCCAGGCTAGCAATATGCAGTACAATACTCTTGAGATGCTGAGCAGGAGCAAGCAGAAGCAAGTAGCAGCTCCTGCTCATCCACACGATCACTAGGGGAAATAACCAGTGATCTGCAGTATGCAGTGCTGCTGAGCTAGGATGTTCCATGGGTGGTGTATTCAATGAGTTTTCTACTTAGTATCCTCTTCACTTACAATGGGTTTATCATTATCCTCACTGCAAGTGAGGAGCATCCACACTCATTCACCCAGAATGAAACAAAAAGTGTAGACTTCTCTGGATGTCACAGAAGGAAAGGCTTGCTTTGTTAATCAATGTCAGGTCTCCCTGAGAAAGTTTCCTGTGTTTCCCAAGAGCCCCCGAGAGAAATTCATACTAATTGGGAGCCAGCCCCTCTCCCTTTCACATTCTGAAAGAACTTCATACATTAAAAAAAAAAAAGAAAAAAAATCATATGTCAGGATATCCGAGAAGTCTTGTCTGTCTTGGAGAGCTTGCTTATATTTATAGCATTGACCTATGAAGCCAGAATGCCAGTTGGTTAATTCATAAAGAGAACTAGAACGTCTAGGTTTTTTATCCTCAAACCAGCACAAGCTCTGTCAGAAGCTGTATTAAGCCAGAGCTGCAGGGTGAGTATGGAACACAAGCTGTGGAATTTGTAGATGTGCTGGCTTCAGACCACAATGGCCCAGTACGGCCATCGCCAAGCTGATATACTTGCTTCTGGCAGCAGAGATATTGAGTCCCAAGCCTTGTCTCTACCCCGGGAACATTTGCCTCTGACTTGTGTTTTCATTGGATAACCCTTTCCCCCTGCACCCTGTACTATTGAGTTATTACATTCATTTGGTTTCCAGCCAAGTCTTGCCCCCTTAGGAACCATTTTCTCCCTGAGGTGATTTTGCATAACTCTGTTCTCCCCTATTAGGATTTGATCATTAAAAGTTAACTCTGAGCCAGGTGTGGTGGCGCACACATGTAATCTCAGTGGTCCAGGAGGCTGAGGCAGGAGGATCACAAATTCAAAGCTAGCCTCAGCAAAAGCGACTTAGTGAGACCCTCTCTCTAAATAAAATACAAAAATAGGGCTGGGGATGTGGCTTAGTGATCGAGTGCCCCTGAATTCAATCCCCAGTAACCCCTGCCCCCTGCATAAAAGTTAACTGTGATGGAGTAGTCTTAGTTCCAGGTTCTGGAAGGGACACCTCGATGCATCCTACCTAAACTCACAGGTCTTACAAGGGTATGAAGTCAGAGGCTCAGAGACTTGTTCTTCCAGTTTTCTCACTAAATCAGCATATGATCTACTTTAGGTGGGACACTCATCAGAAACCTGTTTCAGGAATTCTCTCCTTTCTCTACTTATAGCCTCATGAAAGAGAAAAACCTGAGACATGAAGTAAAGTTGGATGGGATCCTGGGCCGAGTGCAGTAGAAAGAAGGGTGAGAAGGATGATGGGTGTGGTCCTATGTGACAGGGGACCTTGATGGGGAGAGAACAGAAGTGATAATGTAGGGAACACCATACTACAGGTAAGGGAATGAGAGCAGGAGTCATGGAGCAACTGAGACCTCTTTATTTAAAGAAAACCCGAACTTTCCAAGGAGTAGTTCTGAAATGGGCAGCTCTGGATGAGAGGTCATGGGACAATAAGACTTTTCACCTGAGTCCCACTTGCCTTTGCTTCTTAGAGTTCTTTAAGGGTTGCTGCACCCTAATGTATGCTGTATGCCCCAGCACCCACCTGACCTCTGCCCACCTGGAGGGTCTCCTTAGAAGCTCTTCTGGAATTTGATGCTCCGAGGTTTTGCCTACACAGGTGTGGGGATGTCATTTCCTCAGCAGGCATCAGAGGAAGGGGGCAAATGAGCTAGCTACAAGGGAGGGGTGAGTGGGATGGAGATACCTAAGGGAATGCAGGGTGCATGCTGGGGAGGTGCTGGGAATGCAGTAGCTGGGGCCAGACAATGGGGTCCATTGCTCAGAGAATACAGCCAGAGGAAGCCACTGGAGGATCTCAGTGATGGCTGGAGGAAAGGGCGAGTGGACTGGTATGGCAACAGGAGTGAATTGGGGGTGGGTTTGTGGAAGGCGAAGAATGGGCAGAAGGAAATAGGATGGGAACTGGGAGGCTCTTGCTTCATCTAGGGGAGATGAAGGGGAGGGCAGGTTGAAGAGAGCAGACTCAGGAATTAGTGACAAGGAGGTACAAAAACTTGGTACATAGTCAGTGCCACACATAGACGGCCTTAGAGTGGTAGAATGAGTAACTCAAATGGTTTTCTCTCCTTACCTTTCCTTTTCTCCCTCTCTTCTAAGATAAAAGAACCAAGCAATCTTAAATTAGAAACTTCAGGAAGCATAAAATATTGTGTGAAAAGGCGCTTGAGAACCCATCTGTTGAAACTGAGACCTGCTGCAATTAGGAAGCCAAGGCTTCAGGTGACTTGTGCATAACTTGGCCAAGTTCACACTTCCTGCTTAAGGCAAGACAAGTGCTAGAGTAAGGGACACCTGCCTTCTAAAATAAGGGCTATTTCTTCTGAGAAGCTGGCTTAATCTAGTGATTCACACATAAAGTAAAGTTGGGTGAGATCTCAGGCCAAATGCAGTAGAAAGAGCCTCCTCTGGCGCTGGAATTGGCCTAAAGTTCAAACCAGCTGTATCCTTCTAGTTTTGTGATGGGGGCACAGTTCTTACCTTGCACCTCTTTTTCTTCATCTGTAAAATGGGGCTACTGATGGCTCCTCTCCGGCTGGGTTGTGACTAGGAGTGATTGACGTCAGTATTTTACATGGTGCCTGACAGGCAGTTAAGAGCTCAGAAAGTGTGGCTCTGGGTGTCAGTGATCAAGAGATGGAACCGGGCAGGAGCCAAAGATGTCTGAGGTGGGCAACTGTAGAATCATAGTTCAGTGGAGGCTGCAGAGGAGCAGCTTAGGGCCCGGGGGCTGGTGAGTGAGGTAGCTTTCCAGAGCCAGGCAAGAGGATAGAGTAGCAACATCATATCTTAAGATTCCAACAACTCACCAAGTGAAGAGTTCACAGGTGAGCAATGGTCTCAGCCTTATCTGTGAAGTAGGATCTCAGTCATCCACATACCTGGAAGGGAGAGGATTTTGGAATTGACAGTAGCACATGAGGGTTCTAGAATAAGCTAAGAAGAAAGAACAAAGAAGAAAGGGAGAGGTAACCTGCAGGAAGCAGAGGTTGGACCCTGTGTGTCCATGAAGAGCCACTACTAAGTGACCAGGTCTTCTCCCAGTTCCACACCACAGCACAGGCCTTGGAGCAGGAGGGCCAGGAAGGGAACCGATAGCAACTGTGAGCAGCGCTTGCCTTTCCTCTCTGGACATGCGTTGGTCCCTCCACACACACATTCCCCTGGATATCTTCCTGCCAGTCTTTAAACTTCCCTTGGTCCAACCCCAAGGATGTCTCCTTCTTCAGCTATAAATATTTTAAACACAAGGAGTTGTTTCAAATCTTATGAAAATGACACAAGACTGGCTTCTCTTGTAGGCACTGGTTCCATTAGGAATTGGCGTCGCTACTGGAGAGCAGGTGAGTGACATGTCCTTGACCACGGACTGAGGACCCCATTGTACATTAGGCTCCCATACCTGTTGCATTGTGAGCTGGGAATTTTTGTTATCTTAGAAATCAGCAGTTCCTTAGTGTCTGGAGTCAGATGTGGTTAAAAGGTTGCAGCTTTTTCTATAATTCATGGGACTCAGGTCATTGATTTTTTTTTTCAAATCAGAATTGACAAGGCAGCAATTTAAAGTTATGATCACAAGGGCATACAATGGCTTCAAGAAAGCCAGCTTCCAAATTGAATAAACATGATGGCATTCGCTTTCTGTGCTTATAAACTAAGCTCAAGTGCCTGCCAACACCTGCTGCAGCCAGCCCACGAGCCAAGCAGTGTGAGGAACAGACTCTCAGTTTTCCCAGCAAAGGAGCAATACTGCTCTGCCATGGTTCCGTTTTGTCATTGTGCCACCTGCTCATCGCTATTACTGTACTTCATCCTGATGCTCCACTTCACTCCCACTTGCCAATAGACACAGCAGTTATTCCTTAATAAATGGCAGGCTGATGCGATCTGTACCTGACTCACACTCTCACATTCACAGATTTGTAAAGAAGTGAGCCCAAAGTCCCTGCCTGCACTGTCAGGGCCACCACATGCCAAGTGAGAATAATACAGCCCAGGCTTCCTGAAGACCTCTGATGAGTCACAGCTGGCATGGAATCACCACGTTGCCAGGCTTAGGGATCCTGAGGGCTAAGGCTGACTCTTCTCTTTGTGTTATTTTTAATTCTATTTCCAGTGCCACAATAGAGTGATATTTAAGCAACTCCTACAAGCGAACGCCTTGCAGTTTCTCCAGATTGATAGCTGCAGACTGGGAAGTGTCAATGAAAACCTCTCAGTATTACTGATGGCCAAGAAGTTTGGAAGTAAGGGCCCTGCAGAGGCTGCAGGCCAGACCTGTTTCTCCTGCCATCAGACCCCATGGTTCCCTTGGGGGTCTTTGCAATTCACATAAGCCTGTAGTTTGCCCTGTTGGTTTCTTTCTAACTCTTCATTTAGCCCTAATCAAGGAATCTTTGATGATTTTCATCCTGGAATTTCATTCAGTATTAATGAATGGTTTAATCACCTTTGGGTATTAATAAAAACCACAGGGTTCTCTTTCATTCCTTCCTCTCTCTGTGTTACCTTTGGCATCAAATAGAAATGTCTTTCTTCTAGTTCCTGTTTGCCCCCATGCGGGTGGAGTTGGCCTCTGTGAACTGGTGCAGCACCTGATTATATTTGACTACATATCAGTCTCCACAAGCCTTAAAAACAGGTCAGTAATGTGCCATTAATTCACTTTGCCCCTGAGTAGTGCCCCTTGGTTCAAGCCATATCTTCTATGATTCTGCTCTCAAGACCAGAAATACTCAGAACCTGGTGTAGTGTTACAAGGGCCTAAAATGGCTTTAAGAAAGTCAGCTTCCAAAGTGAATTAACATAGTAGCATTTACTTTTTGTGTTCATAAACTGAACACAAACTATAACACAAAGGCTTTGAGTCTTGCTTGACTTCTCCACATGGGGCAATAACAATGGGGACCCACCAGAGCATAGTCATTGTTCCTTCTTGAAAGGTAAGCTCTTGGTAGCTGACTCACTTTGGTAAGTATGTTGGGGGTGGAGTTTGAATCCAGACCTCCTCTCTCAAAACCAGCTCCTTTTTCTGAAGCCAGCTCTCAGCACACATGCACTCTCCACTTCCATCCAGTCTCCTCTTCTGACCCTGGAGTCCTGTACCACCTGGCTGCAGCTTTATGTAGTTAGTTCATCTTCTCGGCATGCCCAGGGGAACTTTATTATCTTGCCATGCTGAGTATCAAACCCCAAGCTTTGCACATGCTAGACAAGTGCTTCACTGTAACCTCAGCCCCCAGGTGAAACTGGGATGGGATCCTTCCAGTCACTGCATCCATAAAGCTTTACTTACTGTGCTTTTTGGTCTCCTGGAGTTAAAGGTGACACAGAAGCTCAATAAACATGATGCACAGAGAGGGCATGAAAACAGGCATTGGAAAGGTAAACACCAAATTCAGGAAAAAATAGAGCTGGAGCAGTAGTGCAGGCCTGTAATCCCAGCAGCTCAGGAGGCTGAGGCAGGAGGTTCAGAATTTCAAAGCCAGCCTCAGCAATGGTGAGGCACTAAGCAACTCAGTGAAACCCTGTCTCTAAATAAAATACAAAATAGGGCTGGGGATGTGGCTCAGTGGTGCCCAATCCCCAGTAACCCTCCCAGCCAAATAAAGGGATCTGTCTGGGCACATAGCAGGGGTCCTTTATAATTGTAATGGTTTCTTTCTTTATTTAGAGTGCTTTTCAAAGGTTTTGTCACTTGTAGGGTTAGGCTGAATGCCCAGGTGAAAATTGTTTTTTTCTAAAGAAAAAGGAACTAGGTCAAAAAAGTCAGTTACTATTCATTAGCTTTTAAGTATGTTTCCATTGGCAGATATAACTGTGCTGTTTGTTTTAGCAGTCACATTTTGTTGACTGAGGGAGCACAAAATGCTGAGCAAAGAAAGTGGAAATTTATATACTCATCCCCGCCCACCTGCCCAGCACCCTTCCCTAAACACTGGAGCATGTCCTCTCTACTCCAACATGGCATTACACAGAGGGCCTGTCATATAGGAATGCTCCACACATCAACCTTTATCAAGAAAGTACCAAGCTTAAAAAGGGATACTAGATATCATTCTTACCTGAATTTTCAGTGGCTCAATGTGATTCAGGTAAGCTCTTGATAGCTGACTTGGGACACCTCAGTATCCCTCAGTGCATTTCCCAAAGTAATAAGTAATAAAGTAATGAGTACACAGGTACTTCCTATTAATATGCCTAAACAATTTTATACTAAACCCATCTGTTCATCTGGAAGATGGAGGTTGACACCAGGTCATCCCCACTCCAATGAATAGGCTGATTCTAGAATGCAGAAAAACCACCTTCCTAGGTTATGTTGCTTTTGCTGCTCTCATTTCAGTTCCTGTCCTTGGGAACAAGGGCGGTCCAGACCAACCTTGAGAAGTCCCACGGGTCTTGAGGGATGAGAATGAGGGCCCCCCAGTGCCTCAGTGCAGGAAGTTCCTGGTGCAATACTGGCAGTGCTGGAGGGAATGCCCCTGTACACCACCACACTGACAGTGCACGCCAACCCCACATGCTTTGTCCTTCTTTGCAGGGAACAACTATTCCCTGCTTATCTTTCAGGGCCCAACTGTGCTATCTCATGTGGCTGTCTTCCTCCACAACCTGTTCTTAATAGATGACACATAGCACAGTCAGTGGCTTAGTGCCTGTGTCCACCAAAACCATGAGACTCATTTGCCAATTTCTTTATGCAGTCCCAGCACCAGGCTGCGCACCACCTGCCTGCCACAGCTATTAATGATCTGGAGACTAAAGCAGCTTAGGTTACCTGTCCCCCTCCACCCCAAACATAAACACATCCTCCCACCACAAAACTAGAAAGTGGCTGACAGACTGACCCAAACCTATACTCTTCTAAACTAGTCACATAGCTGAAAAGAGACTCACTTGGTGATTTAATCTATTCATCTAACTTTGGGATATAGGCACCAGGTGATTCCAGATACTTCATGGAATCTAAACTGATGCTTTTAGGGCATCACAGAACTTTTAGATACCAGGGGCTTTGTGATTCACCTCAGCCCCCACATTGCTGTTTCACACAGATGAAAAGCATCCAGGGCACAGAAGGGCTTTGCCTAGAAGCCTTTGAAATCAGCTAAGCCGTGATGGAGTCCATTTCTTAAGGGCAGTCCCCCCTCTGCCTTAAGAAAAGCATTATCTGACTCCAGGCATTATTGTCCCAATTTGATTCCCTCTTCTAGGATGTGTGAATATGTGGACCATCTGCATGAACATTTCAAGTATCCTGTGGTAATCAAGCAGGCTTCCTACATGCCTCCTAAGGTAAGCTGGGACTTGGGACACCTCAGATGCTGCTAGCCACTAATGTGCCCATGAACATAGGGCACAAAGCTTTAACTCCCTAGAGTTTATTTTCATATCTAGAAACAAATGGCTCTTTAAGAGGTCAGAATCAAATTCCTAAGACCGGAAGGTCAGCATGGAGGTTAAATAGCTTGACAAGGATTCTTTAAAAAACCAAAAATTGGTACCATCTACAAGTTAGTGACCTAAAAGTTTCTGACTACGTCGGTATTACCTGGGCCATTTGTCCTGGTCAGGTTCAGATTGTGGCTTATTTTCACCAATAGGGGTTGTGCTATCAAAGGAAATTTGATTAGTTTCTGTAACTAATCCTAGTGAGTACCCAATAAAGTATGCCCCCCAAGCCCCAGTCTGAAAACTTTTTAAAGTATTGAATTGCTTCTGACTTAACTGGCATTATTAGGAACAGTAGGAATAAGTAACATACATATTTTTGTTCCTGGTGGTTATCAACACAAGTGACTATGTCGTCTTTGCTAGGATGCTGGCTACTCAACAGAAATGAAAGAGGACTCTGTAAGGAAACACCAATATCCAGATGGCGATGTCTGGAAGAAGCTCCTTGCTGCTCAAGAAAACTAAGTGTTCATTTAGCCCTAACACCATTTTTTCTTAAGTGAAAAGGCTTAAAATTTCCTGGGTAGTTTTATAAAAATAGAGAAGAAAAAAAATCTTATCCTACTAATCAAGACAAGTTCCACTCAAGAATTAGCCCAGTCATCATTTCAATTTGATTCTTTTAACAAGCCAATATATATTCTATTTAATCCTTAAGTAGATTTAGATTTACCTAACCCAAAGCCCAGGAAGATATTCTTACCAAAATTTCCATCAAGCACCAGTCTGCAGACATTAAATCATATTTTGAAAATAAGCAACATATTGCATAATTTGTTGGAACAATCCCTTATTTGTTCTATCTAACACTTGTCATAAACTAGCAGAATAAAAATAGTTCTCCAGGACTCCAGGGGATCTGTTAGTGCACCAAAGGAAAAACTATTAGCCCTGATGTGATCTAGCCTTTTTCTGATCAGTAAACATTAGGAGAATCCATACCACACTAAAATAAATGGGGGCAAAATGGTATTTCATGAATTATTTTTGTAATCCTTAAAAAAAAAAAAAACCTCTCTCTTAAGTGGTGATTATCTTTTTATTTATTTATTTTTTGGACAGCATGCCTTTATTTGTTATGTGATGTCAAACACTCTGCCACTGAGTTACAGCCCCAACCCCCTAAGTGATAATTATCTTTTAATGTAAAATGCGTCTAGGATGAGATGAATCATGAAAAAAAAAGGGCAAAATATAGTTTAGTCAGAATCTCTAATATATATTCTCACCCTCTAAGCAGCATCTAAACCAGAATCCAGCACACGCTTGCTTGGCTTAGGTGGGTTTGTTTGGGTGAATCTTTTTTAGGCGGGCACTAAGCAGATAAATGGCAATACAGAAGAAAAAAAAAATGGACAAATGCAAGCAGTTCTTTATTATAGAAACATATAAAACAAATAAGCATTCATAATGCACATATATTATGATGGATGGGTTACTTCAAAATTGAAGGGAATAAATAGCTTGTACAAACAATGAAATTCACAAGTCTTAATGAAGCCAAGAGACTGAAATGCTATGTATTTTTGCTAAAAGTATATAAACTCCCACTTTCTTTGCTCAGCATTTTGTGCTCCTTCAGTCAACAAAATGTGACTGCTAAAACAAACAGCACAGTTATATCTGCCAATGGAAACATACTTAAAAGCTAATTAATAGTAACTGATTTTTTTGATCTAGTTCCTTTTTCTTTAGAAAAAAAAACAATTTTCACCTGGGCATTCAGCCTGACCTCTACAAGTGACAAAACCTTTCCAACTCCTTTGAAAGCACTCTAAACAGCCATTTCCATTTTAATAGTTGGATGTGGATTGTACCCTTTAATCTGAAAGTCTTCAACTTTGAAGTCATCGATTTTCTCAACCTTTCGAAGGATTTTGAGCTTTGGGAAAGGTCTTGGTTCTCGCTGAAGCTAAAAACAAAATCAGATCATTATTTTGCCATATTTGTGCAACCTGCTTTTAATTCTGCTTCCCATGGCTTTTCATGGAACAAGAACACAGTATTTGGGCTGGGATTGTGGCTCAGTGGTAGAGCGCTTGTCTAACACATGCGAGGCCCTGGGTTCGATCCTCAGCACCACATAAAATAAATAAAGATATTGTGTCCAACTACAACTAAAAAAATAAATAAATACTTTAAATACTTAAAATATTGTGTTCTTTTTTTTTTTTAATCAACAAAGTATTATTTTATAGGTGTCTAATACTGTGGGTGGCCCTAACCCTGGTTATACACTACTACTGCAACATACCCAATTGTTTCTGTTGCACAGATCAAGTGTAAAGGGTATCTTGTAACGATACAAAGCACCAGGTGCCTGGTAGCCCATCATGTGTGAGTTATGGTAATTCATGGTAATTATCAACACTATGACACAGTCTTTTATTTTACTTTTCCATCTATAACTCAGTAACATGCAGTATAGTTTCTCGAGTTCCACTGTCCCTAACCCAAATGTCTCTGGCAGAAAGGGGAACAAAAGGTGGTATCTCTTGACAAGTTACAGAAAAAGGTAAGCCCGGACTCCAGTATGAGTACTTGTGGCAGTGAGGATGCAGAGGTCATGACCTCTTGTATCTGTGTCCAACACAAGTGCAGACAGCAGAGAGAAGCAGCTGAATAAACCTGTGGTCACCCTCTATTTAGGCCAAGATCCGAAAAAGGAGTAACTTACAATCTAATCTAGAATAGGATAAGAGTAAAAGTTTTTGGTTCTAAAATTATTTTTTTCTTGAGGCTCATGAAGGCACAGTCATATTTTTATTCCATTTCAAGTCATCTGTAGGTCAGTAAACCTCAGGGATTTGAACAGACTAGGCTTTTGAAAGTTCAGACCCAAGCATTGTATTTAGCATAAAATAAAGACAAAAAAAGCACTTCAATTCCCCTTCAAGTAACAATGAATTGGGAAAGCTGGGATTGTGGCTCAGTGTACAACACTTGCCTAGCATGTGTGAAGCACTGAGTTCGAGTCTCAGCACTGCATATTAATAAATAAAGATCCATCTACAACTAAAAAAATGAGTTAGGAAGGCCCCAAATTCCCTGCCCAGAGTGTGGCTCTTCCTTTCTGGTACAGGTGCTTAATGCCTTAGAGCACCTATCACATCAAGTATTACATCATCTCTGCCCACCTGCCCAACACCCTTCCCTAAACACTGGAGCATGTCCTCTCTACTCTAGCATGGCATCCCACAGAGGGCCTGTCATATAGGAATGCTCCACAAATCAACCTTTGAGTATCAAGCTTTGAAAAGTATACTAGATATCATTCTTACCTGAATTTTCAGTGGCTCAATGTGATTCAGGTAAATATGTGCATCTCCCAAAGTATGTACAAAGTCACCTGGCTAAATAAATCCCACAGAACAATCAATGTTTTCGTTTCAATCCCTTTAAACACATCACTTAAAAACACATTATAGAATATGCAGCTATCCCAAGGCTTTGGAGAAAAATAAAGAATTTAACCAGTACAGCTTTTGAGGAAAGTTAATTTAGGAAAGTTACATTATAGACAACCTGCATGAACTTAAGTTTACATATACAACAAAGGCAGGAAAGCCGGATGAAGGTTTATGAGGCAAGCCAGTTTATGTCTGTCTTATGTGTATCAGATTTTAATACTAATCAGAGACTGAACTCTCCTGCTAGTTTTTCCAAATTAAAGAATCAAAGAACTCAGTACAACAGGCTGGCTGTAAGAGCGCTTTCCTAGGGCAGCTCACCTGCAGGCCCGTGATGTGTGCAATCATGTAGGTAAGCAGGGCATAGCTGGCGATGTTGAAGGGCACGCCCAGACCCATGTCACCTGACCTCTGGTACAGCTGGCAGGACAGCTCCCCATTCACCACGTAGAACTGGCAAAGGGCATGGCATGGAGGCAGTGCCATCAGAGGAAGATCTGAGGAACCAGCACAGAGGAGAACAAGGAGGGGTGGATGGTTTTAAAGAGCACAGCTAAGAGCAAGGTAAACCATTGGAGATCATGAAAAAAGCCATCAGGCCCTAGGGAAGTCTGCAACCCAGACCTTTTCATCATACAAAAATCAGACCATTGTCCTACCCCCTGCAGCGGTGGCCTGAAGCTGAAGATTTGTGCAGATTTGTCTATGCTGAAGCAATGTTCTCCCATTCAAGCTGAAATTAAGGATCTATGCTATTTTTGTGGCACGAGACTGCAGATACAGGAGGAATGAGTTACTTCATTTGCAGGGACCACAGGATATTGGTGTCTTCAGCAGACCCTACTGTCTTCATTATAGATCCAAATATCCCACTCTGGGTAGACTTTATTTTTAACAATTGTGTTGTAAAATTACTAGTGATAGTGGAGTAGTGGTGATCTGAAATGTCATCTGCTCCAAATAAAACATTAAGATTTTATGTGTATTTTCATAGGCAATTTAAAACTCTTTTTGGAAAAAGAACAAGTATAAATGCACAAATTAAGATGCTCTGCTTTCAACCTGATGGTCCGAGAATGAAAATGAATTGTGATTTGCTGAGGTTAACAACAAACCCCATGGCTGGGGCGAGCTCCCAGGGTCCCACCTCCCCGTGGTGCCTCAGCAGTGTCACATGGCTTTGCTTTGTGCTGACCATACACTTAACAGAAAAGAGGATGACCAGAATGGTTTCACCTTTTGGGTTCCAGGCACACATGATGATCCTTCTGTCATCAGGGTTGGTTTTGATGGTGTCAATCACTTTTTGCAGTTGATCTACTCCTTGACCAGAATAATCTATAGAATTAAGACACATACACACATTAATCACAGCCTTTCATGGGATGGCCCTGCCATTGTCTATTAACACCCTTCATTCAATGTCCCTTCTTGACCCATGGTGACAGAACTCTGCAAATTTCTCATCTCTCTCTGGGTTGAGTTTAAGGTCCTAAGTTCCTAGTCCTCTGGAGTCATAGCAACTATAAAGGGACACTAACCTACCCACATTTCCACCCAAAACTATACTGAGACTGAGCAGCTAAACAGGTTATTTCCTATAAATATAGGAAAACTCTAAAATGATTACATCATCTTTCTTTTCTCCCAATCCTGTTTTCTGGAGTTTGATTCCCTGCTTTCCTTCTGAGATGGAACTGGAAGCTGAGAAGTGATTTGTTAATGGAAACCCAGAGCTTCGGACTGTCCTCTGGTTAAAATTCCAACTGATGGGAAATGTTCCAGACCAATAGTTCTCACATCTTGTGGGATAAAGGCCTCTAACTGATAACTCTGGATTGTACCAATGTTAATTTAAGTAAGAGTATTAACAGGAGCTATCACTATGGGCGGGGACAGGGTGAAGGGTACAGAGGAATTCTCTCTACATTTTTTTTTTCCAATTTCCTGTGAATCTTAATTACTTCAAAATGAAAACTCAGAATCAAAGATGACAAACTCCTCTGCTGACTTTAGCAGCCTGTACTCATCCAACTAAGTCAATACTTTTATGACTTGGCCCCTTAAGCAACACCAGGCAGGATGTAAAGCCCCATAGCCAGGGAGAAGCCTGACATCTTCAGGAAGGAGCCCTAGGTCAGCAATCACATACCAAGAAGCCACTGACCATTCACCTGCAGAAAGTCTGGCCTTGCACATGCTAGACAAGCCCTTGTTGTAACCATTTTTAAGTATGCAATTCATCAGCATTAAGTAATTCCTATTGTTGTACAACCACACAGTATCCACTTCCAGAACATTTTCATCTTTCCAAACTAAAATTGCGTACCCAAACACTAACTTCCCATTTTCCCCACAACCCAAACCACCATTCTACCTTTTCCCTCTTCAAATTCACCCATTCCTAGTCCTCACAGCGTTTTTTTAATCCTTGAAACCGCCAACATCAAAAAAGGCCTTATGACTGCACATAAATGCAGACTTAGTCTTTCACTGAGGAATTAACACCAGGCCCAAATCCCTCCAGCCAGGAAACTGTTACTTCCTGCATGTGTGCACACACACACAAACACACCCTGAGGTGGTGTTTGCTTTGGCAACCCCCATCCTAAGAACAGGTGAGCTAGGAAGAAAGAGCCAAAGGCGGGAGTGGGAGGGGGTTGGGCTCTGTGACTCAAGCAAATGGTGCCACCAACAGGACAGGAAATCCTGGAGTGAAATGTTTCATCCTTCCTCTATTCCAGCAGAAGGTGGGGGAGGGGGACCCTAATGCTATGCTGGATCACATCAACACCACCTACTGCACGCTAGACGTTTAATCTCTAGCTGAAGAAACATAAGCTCCCACAGATGAACTTTCTTCCTACCCTATTCCCCAACATGGACAACAATCCTGCAGCTATCTGCCAACAAACAACACAGGATGGCACAGGTAAGGAAAATTCCAAGAATTCATAAGAACCCCATAAATGCAAATCACCAAGAGTGTGATCTGACCTTCATGGGGCACTCTCTCTCAAAATGTCAAAGTTATACATCAGCTCCTGGGACAGAACCCAGGACCTCACACATGCTAGGCAAGCACTCTACCACAGAGCTACACCCTGACCCCGACGCTGATTCATTATGCCCCAGACTTTATCCAAAACAATGGAGCAAACTCACGCTAGGAAGAACATTTGGGAAATCTGAGGAATTGCTCTGTCTCCTCACCTGAATCCATATCTTTGTATTCTGCCCCAAAATGTCTCCACTGGAAGCCATAGACTGGGCCCAGGTCCCCTTCTTGTCTGGTGGAGAATCCCAGGCCATCCAAAAAGCCTCGAGATCCATTGGCATCCCAGATTTTCACTCCCTTGGAAGATAGTTCTTTAGCATTTGTGGATCCCTAAAGAGATGAGAGTATAACAGGCACACAAGTGAATTCTGAGTCATCTGGGTTGAGGCCCCCAAAGTCACCCACTGCTCAGCCTCTAGCCCATGCTGACACACTGGAGGGCAGGCACTTGACCCTGTCCACATGGAGCCTGAACTATCTGTAAGCAGCCTGGACCCAGTCCTAACTTTTGGAGGGTGATAGGGTGGTCTGACCCCTTCTTTGGATCCATCTCTCCAATCTTTTCCTATAGGGCTGGGGGTGTTGTTCAGTGGTAGAGTGCCCCTGAGTTAAATTCCTGGTACTGTTAAAACAAACAAACAAACAAAAAAAAAAACCCTCTTCTGAGGTTTCTGAAGATGCATTTTGAGGTAGAGGTTCACTGTCATTTAAAAGGCCATCACAGAACCCACCCCAAGAACATAGAACTGAGAAAGATTGAACTGAAGCCAAATGTCAACCCTTTCTAGGTCTGCCTGGATGGCCCAAGATCATATAAGCCACATCAAGAGCTTTACAGACGGGATCCCAATGTCTAGCTTGTCCTAGAACCAAGCCCATCTCTTCAGAGGGTTCTGGCCAGTACTAGACAGAACATCACTGGTTCTGGACCAGGACACTATACAAGGAGGAGCCTGGTGTCTCTGCCCCCCATCTCATGGCTCTCGAGCTCTTGCCCAAACTACCTACTACCTTTTGCTCTCTTCAGCATTCAAAACATGTTGAGTACCTACCATATAGCAGTCTATGCTCCAGTCCCTGGGGGAACAACAGCAAAAAAGAGACTAATTCTTTGCTCTTGTGGAGCTTATTTATTTGTCTGTCATCCCCCTACCCACACTGGGGGCAGACTGGAGAGGAAAGAATGTGGCATTACACATCAGGTGTTTCCCTCTGGAGAAAAATACAGGAGGCAGGGGAGAATTATAGACTTTGACTGGGAGGCTGAGACTCACTGAGCAAAGACTTAAGGAGGTGAGGGAGTCACACTCCATGGGGGTGGAGGAGAAGGTTCTAGAGAGTGGGAAGGCAAGTGCCAGAGGCCTCTGTGGGAATGTCCTAGTGTGCTCAAAGATAAGAGGGTTAGGATGGATGGTACAGAGATGCAGATTTCCCAGAGCTGGAAGGCACTCTGATAAGGACTCTGCTTTTTACTGAGTAAAATGAGAACTACTAGGGATAATGTCTAAGGGCTGTGGGCCGAGGAATTACATGATCGGACTCTTAAAAACCCTCTCTATGTTGAAAACAGACCGTCAACTTTGTCAACTTTCAGCAGAAGCAGCTTCTTTACCTTGATAAACCACAGCAACTCCTCCAAAACACCCTTCCAGAACACACGTTTGGTTGTCAGCAGAGGAAATTCATCTGAAAAACAGTTTGCCATACAGTGTGAACTTGGGAACAGAGAACACATCTTCAAACTTCCCTGTGGAGGAAAACTGTCCCGGGACATAAATCCCTAGAGTGACCTTAGGAACATCCAGAAAACAGCAACTCCTGGGATCAGGGAGGAGCTCCAGGCTGCAAGGCAAATCAGTGACACAAGTCACACAGGCACAGCCCCTCCTGAGCCCTGGCGACTACTGGACACAGCAGTTCCACACAAAGACATGGAGGATGCCCCTGTGGAAAAGGGAAAGAGCTATCACCCACTACCCAGACCTTGTGAATCCTGTCACACAGGTGTGAAGGCAACACTCAAAATGTTTCCCAGGACACAAGAAATTCCACTACTGTCAAGAGTAAACTTAACTCAGTGCAGGGGAACAGATGTCACACTGGTGAAAACTTCAGAATAGTTTTTCAATATTTGTAAAGCAAATCAACATCAATTATTTTAGTGTACCAAAGCCAGCAACTGTTCACTTTTATGCATGCTCCTAGTTGATCCTTAGATCAAACCTCCTTGAGGAATCTTTATGATCTTCATTTTACAGGCACCAATGGGAGGGAGGCAACAAGCAAGAGAAATAAAGTGTAAACGTTTATTCCCAAATGCAGCACTAATCGAGGCCACATTACTGTTTGCATAGTTGATATTCATGAAACAGGGATTTTTTTTTTCAAGCACCTTCTTTTTTTATCAGTACTCCCTACTGAGCATTATTTTCTCAATCTTTTAACATTTGGGACTGAAGACGAGAGAGGCAAAGTCACTTGTCCAAGGTCTAAGCAGAGGAAGTGAATTTAAACAAGTCTATGGCTGGGTGTGGTGGGGCTGGCCTTGAAATCCCTGAGACTGGGAAAGCTGAGGGAGGAGGATTGAAAGTTCTTGCAAAAGGAAAGCTGGTTGGTGGGAAACCATCAGCTTTGGCAACCTAATAAGATCCTGTCTTAAAAAGGTGAATTGCTCTGCTCAGAGGAAACCCCTAAGCCGTCCTGGGCATATCTGCCTTGGCTGCTGGTAGTGTGCAGTGTCTGAATGGATGTAGGGTGCGAGGGTTTTCCCCCTAACTACAATGAAGAGTCTCGCCTCTCAAAACCACTCCGCACGCCTGGGTCAAGGATGCTCTTTCTTTATTGTGGAAGTCAATGTTACCGTCTGGCTTAAACACCTTGGAGGAGTCCCCTGTCCCGCACAACGGATGCTCAATCCAGGATCACCTGCTGTCAGACGTTAAAGAGCCGCATCTGCTGCCTAACGTTCTGTGCCCTCCCCGACCCAGTCCTTAGTCTCCAGAAAGCCTGATGCAAACAACCCGTAAGCGCACTTCTTCCCTGGAGCCATCCTGGGAGGGTGGAGTAAGACCTCTGCGGACTCTCCGTTTCTTGGCAGGTTTAAGAGGAAAGCGGGTTGGTGCGAAACGGACAGGAACAAGTTCCCGCCAGCTCCTCGGTTCTCTTCCGCCTTCGCCGCTCCGCCCCTATCATTTTCCCTCCTCTTTTCAACTTTTGCAAAGCGGAACAACCAACCGGGGAGAAAAGAGGAGGGGCAAAGCCAGGACGTGCCCAGGCAGATCTCTCACTGCGTAGCACGGGGCGAGCACTGCGGCACCATGCCAGCAGGAGGCGAGGTAGGCTAAGCCGCGGAGCCATTAGGATCTGGTTCACCTTTCAGCTCTGCCAGTCCCATCTGTGTGACCCTATGTGCATCATTTCTCTAATCAGAGCCTGTTTCAAGGTCTGCAAAGCCAGGACACCGAGGCTTCCCCTGCCTCCCTGTAGCCTGCGCTCCCGTCGTCTCCCGAGCGCTCCCAGCAGCCGCAGCGCGGAGCCTGCGGGCGCCCTTCCTCCCTCCCAGAGTGGGCCCAGCCGCGGTCACCTCTCAGGCTGTAGCGTGCCTGCATGCCAAAAACCGACAGGGTGCCGGTGCCGGTGCGGTCCTCCTTCCTGAAGCCGCAGCGCAGGATGTGCTTGATCTGCCCCAGGTACTGCAGCTCCCCGTGCTGCGGCGGCTGCTCTGCGCCCAGCTCCTGTGCGGCTGGCTGCGACAGCGTGCATTGCAACTCAGAGCCGGCGGCAGGCATGGTGAAGGCTGGAGACGCGGACTGCGGCGGGAAACGTGGGCGCCAAAACAGAGCCCTTTCTGCGCGCACTTTTCCCCCCAACGCCGCCCTCGCGCTCCGCCTCTTCCTGCTGGAAAGCGGTGGGTCCGCCAGAGCCAACCGGTCCCCGCCGAGCACCCTCGGGCCGCGGCGGGGCCCGCCCAGGGGAAACGTTGCAGTTTAAGATAAACAGTACGCCAGTCCGCTCGAATTTATCCCATCTCGACGGTTAAAACCCGAGAGAACTCCCAAATCCTGCATCTTGGTGCATTGGCGAGAGCCTCTTGGAAAGTTTTCCAATCCTCTGCCATTCTATGAAGCCGGGAGATCCTGGGACAATCCCCACTTGTTCATACCCTCTTAAAGGAAAAGAAAGAAAAGGAAAAACAACAACAACAAAAAATTGTTGAGATGTTTCCTACAACTAAGGGGTCATGCTAACAAGTGATTCGTGTTTCTATTTTTTCCCCATCCTCACTGAAGGTTAGCAGCTGGAGCAAGTTGAATAATGCAGCTTTTGTGTGTGTGTGTTTTTTTTAACTTGATTAATGATGGCCAGAGGCTTTTCAATTTAACACATTTTTCAATTTTAGTGAAAGTTTAATAATGTAAATGCTAGTGAGTAGGAACTATTTGATAAGTTTAAAATGTCCGAATACATATGTTGTACATAAGTCTTAGGTATCCATTTATTGAATACATAGTGAGTGCTCAATAAAGTGTGTTATTGTCAGAAGAAAGAGAATGTGGGCTCGGCTGAAATATATTAAACCTTGGAGGTGGCATTACCTGGGCACTACCACTGAATTACACTCCCCACCCAAGTCCATGGTTTTATTCTGGTTATCTCATGTTCATAGTTTTTGCAAGTACCATGCTTTGGATAAGTAGCCCCCAAAGGCTCATGTATGAAACTAGCTAAATAGTTTGGTTGCCAGCCCATAATGGGAGGTTGTGAAGGCTTTAGGAAGTGGAGGTCTAATGAAAAGAAGTTAGGTCATTTGGGGCAATTCTCTTAAAAGAGGATAGTGTGGCATCAGCTGCATATCTCTCCCTCTCTCTCTGCTTCCTGGCTGCTGTGAGATGAATAGCTCTTCCAGTAGGAATCTGAGAGGTCCAACCCATGATGACCATACCATGCTACAGGTATGGGCCCCAAGGCAACTGGATCAACTAACCATTGACCAACCTCTGAAAACAAACGTTTTGCCACAGATAGGAAAAGATGACTCACACAGCAAGATTCTGGTAGCTTTTTGCGAAAGTATAGGATGAATGAATGCTCCCAGAGGTCACAATAACTAATATGCATTTGGTTATAGGATAGCAGATACTTTAAATCTACTTAATATATCATCATACTACATTGGCCTATCCTGGATCAACCTAGATTCTTCCCTTCTCCCTACTGCTTCAACCCACCTTCACACCAGTGTAATATTAATTTTTTAAAAGCAATCTGTATCTCCTTTGGGAAGATAGACCACCTGTATATAGAAGAGAAAAAGTAATATCTTTTCCTAACTTATCTCAAGATCATGTCTGACACTCTTATAGCAAAGACAGATTAATAAGAAAAAAAAATTGACTACAGGTTGTATGATACAGGAGACTTCAGAAATGAAGACCCAAATACCCAGGAAAAATTGATTTTAATGTATAATTGTACAGAGTATAATCAGAGGACAAAATTCTTTTTGCTTCTGATTACAAGGCAGGACCCCACTGAAATGAGGGCCTTATGACCTATTTTTCAGGAAGTTAGGTCAGAGAATTCTTTACAGATTGCCTCAGGGAAGAAAGGTGGGAGGACAGTGAGTGATCTTGTGCAGTTTTCTCAGATTTCCTGTAGCTTAAGATATACAGTATGCCAAGGGGCCATATTTGGGGATATTGGCATTAAGTCTTGCCATGTGTTGTGTTGTACTGTTTGAGTAGGGTCCAGGGGTGGGGTAGACTGAGGCAAGGTGGACATTCTTTCTGATGGTTGTTTAGAAAGAGATAGGTGGTAAGAAAAACCAAGCTTAAAAGCTGGGTGCAGTGGGGCACACTTGTAATCCCAGGGACTTGGGAGGCTGAGGCAGGAGGATCATGAGTTTAAACCTAGCCTCAGCAATTTAGCAAGGCCCTAAGCAACTCAGCGAGACCCTGTCTTTAATAAAATATTTTTTAAAAAGGCTGGGGATGTGGCTCAGTGGTTCAATCCCTGGTACCAAAAAAAAAAAAAAAAAAAAAAAAAAGTTTAGACAGGGTATATGGAGCCAATTTGCTGAGTAGAGGCAAGTGCTGGGTGAGCTTAGAGTTGCATAATTTCTCAAAAGGACCGTGTCTGTGTCTTGGATGGAACTGTCCTGCACATTGCAGTGTGCTAGCATTCCTGCAGAAAACCAGCCAAATGCAAGTGTTTCCCCCAATTAAAATATATATATATATATATATATATATATATATATATATCCTTGGGCTGGGGGTTGTGGCTCAGTGGCAGAGCACTTACCTTGCATGTGTGAGGCACTAGGTTCAATTCTCAGCACCACATATCAATCAATAAAATAAAGGTCCATTGACAACTAAAAAAAATATTAAAACTCTTTGGAAAAAAATATCTTCGCATATTTCCAACCACTGGCAGCAACCCAGGCCGAGGGTATCCAGTTGCATGTTACCTATGTGTTCATTTTCCTTATGTTATTATGAACCTGGTCTAATTATTCTAGCCAAATAGCAGCTGAATTACAATGTGAATCTCAAGACACAAGAGTGGGCTCCCCTACCCACATGGAGATTTCTCTGTCATGGCCTCCTTGGAGAACCTAGGTCTGATAATAATAGGGGAAAGAGTCCTTTTGAACTGGCTGCTCTATAAATGTTGGCTAGATGATCCTCAGACTAACAGCATTCATACATTCAGCAAACATTTCTATCACAGTACCTTCCACGTTTCAATAAGGAGCAAGACAGGCAAGGTCCCTCTTCATAGAACTGATATTCTAGGGGAGACAAACAATCCCAGAGGACCCAGAGATGGACTGGGAGTGCTCAGAGGTAGAGTGCTTGCCTAGCATATATGAGGCCCAGAGTTCCATCCCCAACCCTGTAATTAGTAACAGGGGTTAAGGTGATGTCCAGATAAAAGGTCAGAGGGTGATCAGGTGGGGTAAGCTGCTCACCAGGCAAGACCTCACTGAGGAGATTAACTGAACCTTGGCAGCTGCAGTGCTTGCATCTAAAGCCAAAAATAGAGTTCATATTGATGCTGAGCCTTGTCTCTTTTTTTCCATATTGAATCCTGTCATCTTAGGAAGAAATTATAATTATTAATGGATACAGGAACTTGTTGGAGGATAAAAAAAAAAGTTCTTCCTTCTCATTAAGAGATTTTCTGTTAGCTGGGTGTCGTGGCCCACACCAATAATCCCAGTGATTTGGGAGGCTGAAGCAAGAGGATTCAGAGTTCAAAGCCAGTTTCAGCAATTTAGCCAGGCCCTAAGCAACTTAGCGAGACCCTGTATCAAAATTTAAAAAAAAAAAATTTTTTTAAAGAGATGGGGATGTGGCTCAGTGATTAAGCATGCCTGGATTCATTCCTCAATACCAAAACAAACAAACAAACAAACAAACAAAAAAGGAGATTTTTCTGTTAAAATTTTAATTTGGGAGGACATACCCAGGATTGAACTTAGGGGCATTGTACCATTGAGTCACCTCCCCAGCCCTTTTTTTAAAATTTGTTTTAATTAGTTATACATGACAGTACAATGATCTTGACATATCATACATTTGAATCAAATGGGGTATAATTTCTCATTATTCTGAGTGTACAGGTTGCAGAATCACATTGGTCATACAGTCATATATATATACAATATATATATATTTTTATTTATTTATTTATTTATTTTAGTTGTAAATGGAACTTTTATTTATTTATATGTGGTGCTGAGACTCAAACCAGGGCCTCACACATGCTAGGCAAGCACTCTGCCACTGAACCACAATCTCAGTCCATCCCTACCCCTTTAATTTCTCATTTTGAGACAGGGTCTTGCCAAGTTGCTTAGGGCTTCGCTAAGTTGCTGAGCCTGGCTTTGAACTTGCAATCCTCCTGCCTCAGCCTCCTGAGCTGCTGAAATTACAGGCCTGTACCACTGTAGCTGGCAAAATTTTTACTTTTTACTAATGTGTTTAATAATCATAGCGATGTAAAGTGTATTTACGTTATTTTGATCAGTTATGTCCAAATGATAATCACAATGATAAATCAATCCAGAATGAACATTTGATACCTAGCATTTGCTATCACAGGATCTGTATCTTATTTTTCAGTTTCCTGTAAGGGAATAGGAGAGAGCAAATATACTTGAAGATTATTAATCTAGAATAAGCCTCCCCACTTTTTTTTTTTAACACAACAAACCCTCAAAAATATTGGTAAAATTAGGTAAAGGACAGCAGGAAACTCACACATTGGAGTCTCAACAATCAAATCAGGCACCTGATAATACTTTTGGTTATGGCTACCACTTATTGATGCTTATCATGAACCCCACATTAAGGATTATTTAATGTAGTTCTCATGACAACACTATAAAGCAGAAACCTATTTTTATCATTTTATAGATGACAACAGTGAGGTCTAGCAAGGTTAAGGGTAGTGCCCCAAGTCCTAGGGCTCACACTAGAGCAGCCAAGATGGGAAGCCAGGTCAGCCTGCCCGCAGTCCTATCACTTGGCTGTCCTGAACCTGACCTCCCCCTCTTCTTTCTCTTTCCACCCTACAAGCTTTGGCTAGCTCACCCAAGAGAAAACCGCTTCCCTTTACAATTTCTTTTTTGGCAGCATCTCTAACAAATATATGAAATGTGTAGTTGGATAGGCTCTATTTACTTATTTTTTTTAGATTTACCGCTCACCATGGAATCCAGGATTTTGTCATTTGTTTATGTCTTTTTATGGCCTTTGGTTGCAATTTAAGAAAAGCTTTATCTTCTTCAGTTGGTTATATTCCATTGGCTGCCTCTGGACTCTCTCTGTCAGGCCTTTCTGCATCAAGATTGTGAAGGTTTAGAGTATTTTCTTTAATCATTAAAA